AATACTGTAAGTTTATGGTTTATTTACGGAATTCCATATCTGCCGTCGTCCGTCGGCTTTTGCTTTTTGTTGTGTCCCAATTCTGCCATTTACCAGTTCCAAACATGCCATTTTCTGTCGCGCGTCGTCCGTCGTGCGTCGTCCATCAAATGGGTCGCATAGGGCCTGCAAAAACCGGGGTTTAACATATGACAATGTGATGATTCCATTCACTTCTAAAGATCTTTTCCGAATAAGGCAAGTACAAATCCCACCTACAAAGCATATACTAGTCACATAATTAATGCCAATACTGCTAGACTTCCCCTGCCCCTTGACAAGAAAATATCGCCTCTCTGAGAATTCAACCAAGTGTTTTTTGGGGAAAAACATTTTCAACAAAAATGTTCCGGCCAACTTATCCACAGTGTTATTCTGGTTTGCATACTGTAAAAATGTGCCGACTTGTTTTCATCAAATTCCAGGAAGAAATCTGCCAACCGATACAGATATTTCATCTTGTCCTCTCAATTTCGCCTTGAAATCCGGAAATACTAGACGTGCTGTGGATAACAAACTGTTTATTAAATGTATTGTTAGGGGGCAATTACCACTTGGTTATGTTTCAGAAAATATGACGTGTTGGTTTTTGTGGGTGTGTATGCCATGGTGGATAGACCAATGAGAACAGGTTGTCTAGCGCATCAGCATTATTTATGGGGCTAACAAGTAACGTTACTGTTAAAAAGACTTCTGTGAGCCAACCTGCAACTAAAGTCATGTCTAATTCGGACTATACAGCAGATTTCATCCCTCAAATTAATGTTAAATAATGAATCAGTTCGTCTCTTATGAAAACTATTGAGGAATCAAACATTGTAAATAATCTATTATTTACATTCCGTTCTGTGGGATATCGTGCAGGGACAGACAGAAATATTACATAGGCTATAGACCTAAAGTCAGGCTGTTAACGAGTAAAGTTACGTCTAGAGTAACTAAGTTATCGAGAAAAACAATCTACCCCAACAAAAGTCTGCTTTGTTAATTTATTTATGTAACCAAAATGGTATTATTTCATATACACGTTACTTAACCGATGTCAGGATATTATTTCTTCTTTCAATTGGAGTTTGGCGCAACTGCAAAAACGAATACGTGTACATCTTCTTGTTCTATTGCTAAAATGAGTCAGGCATGGTGGATCGATCGAACAAGGACATGTACCTGTGAAACGATCAAGGGTCAAAGTT